CACATCGAACAATATAGTAAAATAGGAAGTATAATGCAACAATTTAACCATAAAATGTGAACAGAATTACTAATATTTTATGAAAAAGTGGAAATTTTTTTTTTACTATTTACGGTGACGTATTCACTTTAAAGGTGATGTACAACCGTAGAAGGCGTCTATTACTCTGCCATGCACTACAGGGGTTGAAATTAACTTTTGAACAAGGGAGTCCAACGGACTCCCTGCCCTCAAAAAGAGGGAGTCCGCAGCAAAATATGGGAGTCCGCAGTCTGAAGTTCAAAACTAAAGATATTAACAATAACACAGGTGCTTATTTTGATGATTCGGGTTGCACGTCTGCCAAATTTTCTTTGAACATTTGCTAAAAAAATACGGTAATTCCGCGAGGTCGTGCTCTGAAACAAACTAGTTAGTATATAGCAGAATTTTCAGGGAGTCATGCACACGGACTCCTGCATATGTCAAATCAGGGAGTATTTGACTCTGGACTCTTGGACTCTTACGGTTAATTTCGCACCCTGCACTACGACCATTGGACGCTCCCGCCCTTTATCGACAAACATTAATTAAATCATTAAAGATGTTGTAGAAGGCGTCTATAGGCAGCAGGCCTGAATAAGCATCGAACAGAAATTAATGAAAAATACTCACTGTTTTTTCGCATACACAATTAACATACACTTTATTCATGTTAAATAACTACAGATTCGTGCTCTATGCTTTGCTCGAAACTTGCCACCTCTATGATGCGTATTTATAGTTATACAATGTAGTCGGATCCCCTTTTCAAACACAAAAATAGCCAACAGGTTACCATGGATACGCCACTTGAGGGAAGGGCACAATTACACGACAAGACCAATCTCACTCCTAATGCATTCTCGACTTTCACGAGGCATCTAACCTGCGTGCAAAATGCCAATTATCGCACTCTAGTGCCGAATTTTACCCCCAAAAAATTCAAAACAAGGCCTTTTCTAGAGACCAAATTAGTGCACTCAAGTGCCGAATTCTACCGACAAAAATTCAAAACAAGGCCTTTTCTAGGGACCAAATTAGTGCACTCAAGTGCCGAATTCTACCGACAAAAATTCAAAACAAGGCCTTTTCTAGGGACCAAATTAGTGCACTCAAGTGCCGAATTCTACCGACAAAAATTCAAAACAAGGCCTTTTCTAGGGACCAAAT